TTATTATATTATATATCTTATGATATAGTTGAAAGTAGCAAGCAGCTATCGCTTTAAAACAAACACATTAGAGACGAATCCATTAGGATACGCCCGTATTATGTTCAACGCGATATGTTCACATCGCTTAACAGATGATATAATGTTACCTCTATTCAGAATTTATGATGTGCTCACGTGGTTATCACCAACATAACCGCGGCAACGCGACGAATATTATATATATCAAGAGCTTAATGCATATTTATTAGCTCTTGATATATATATAATATATTATATATATATATATATATATATATAGATAGAAAGGTTCTTCAGGTTGCACGATAGTCAGGTTGGTTTAGTTAATAAAGAATAATCCGACATTCCTAGTTTTAACACAGGCTCTTTGCTTTGTGCCGCTTTTACATACACATATACACATACATATACAGATATAATATATATTATATATATTATGTATATTAGCTTTTGATATATATGTGTGTATATATATATTAATATTATATTATTATATATATTATAATAGTTAAAATGCCTTTGGTTATACCGTTAGCCCGACTCAGTCGGGACCCAGCTGCCGACCAGTACCTCCCCTACTCCACTAAACGAAGTCTAGGACAGTCGCCTACGCCTATTATACTCCGCCTTAACCCAAACCCTAAACCATTAACCTATCAGGATAGTTACCAGAGGGTACATATTCCAGATATATTAACCGTGACCAGACTTACCCAGTATTGGTACATTCCTGCAGTATACCGCTGGGGACATCAGGACCCTATGGAGAGATTACTGAGACGGCGTTTTGTGGATCACGGATCACACGCGGACAATGCGAGCGGCAGAGATGGCGGACATGCGTTGAAGTGTGGGAGTTTCACTGGTAGTGGTAGTCTCTTTCCAATGTGAATCTACTGCCACTACATCACGTGCGGCTTCAAGGGAGCTTTGGACAAGCTTGACTCGTCAAATCACTTGATGCCGATTCAGCTACAAAGTTACACGACTACTACACATTATTAGTAACACACTGCCTACGAGACTGTGACATTGACATAGGAAGATTGTTCAAATTTTGTTTAGTGTTTAGATATTCAAAATTTAAAGTTGTAAGGGAGGAGGGAATGTCTGGAATTCAAATAACATGAAAGGAGCGGAGAATTATACTATACTTTGGGCATACAGAGACTGGGCGAACTCATGCAGCCAGACCAAAATACCATCGCGCAAGACATCAGCGTCTATAGTTCTAAATGACGTTTGGCCGGCTCGCTCTCATGCAGGCTTTTAGTAGAGCGCCCTACCGTCGAATAGCTCCCGGTTTATTTATTTTTTCGACCACTTCGGGCGACGAGCTGCTCCTCTCGACTTGTTTACGGAGGTGACGCTAGCGATTGTAGCGCTGCGCGCGCGCGTAGCTAATCAGCACTTGACGCTTCCCGAGCGCGGATGAGACGCGACGCTAGCGGGCCGTCGAAGCGGCCCCGAACCTGGATCGTGCCTGCACTAATTATATTTCTTTTTTCCCTACGAGTACCGCGCCTCGCGGGCAGGAAAACCCGTGGCTCCGTGATCAAACACCGAACACTGCAGGCCACGGTTCCCCTAGCCTGCCCACACAGAAAACTGTGTGTAATCGCAACAGTAGCACGAAGGCAACATAATTGATGTAGGCAGAGATGCCAACACTTTTCTGAGCAAACTGTAGTGTGAGGATATCTGAAATCTGTAGTCGAGCGCGGTCCACGCCAGTGACCCAAGTTTATGTTTAGGGGGCGTTCAGGGCACTGCATGCCCCCGCGAAATTTTGATTGCCGAGAATGCTAACTCTTCCTGCCGATTCTAGAGAGACCACAAAGATGATAATTAGATTCACACTGTATTAGACTGCGACGACGTAAAAGCATGTTAGTATAGTTGTATTAATCAAGTGAATTATAATGCAGAGATGGAGACCTAGAAGAGCAGTGAAACAAAAACAGCTTGAAATTATCATAAAAAAGATTTTATGTACCCATCGCTAATTAAAAATCGTAGGTAGTTGTATGCAAACTGGTCGTAGTGGTAAAAATGCAAACGAAATTCGTATAAAATACGGATAAATCGTAGTGGTTGGCATCTCTGGTAAGGTCATAATGAATCAGTAAGCGTAATGAATGTCGTTAAACCGATTGTTATAATGAAATTAGTCATGCTTACTGATTCATTAACTGTATATTCATTAACATTCATTTAACTGTATTCATTAACAATCATTAACTAATTCATTAACTGATTCATTAAGGATGGGGATCATGTTGTAACTTATAAACTAGCCAACATATGCATCATTTGATTAGACAAGATCCCGGTGAATTTCACGCAAGAAAAAGATGAGGAAGAAGTAAAATATAGTCTGCTGTCAGAGGGTTCATTTCAATGGTGGACATTAAACTGAACTAGGTCAAAGGTTAAGGTCAGGGTCAAATGTTTAAGCAAACCTGTCCAGGTCATGGTCAAGGTGACAGCCTCTCCTGCTGCCAGGCAGCCGCTGGTGGCTCCATCTGTTGCGCAGATAGAGAAGACATGTTGCTGTAGGAGTGGGTGAGAGGTATCGAGGTGCCACTCAACTCTCTCACCTCCCGGGTTACGCACCGTGATGTCCTGCAAAATAGTAGACAGCGTTAAATACAAGAACACCGCGTTTAACCTCACCCAAGAAAATCGTTCTGAAATATGAAAAAATATATCAAGGTAGACAATTAAGCTATTTGCTTTCATAGGCAAAGCATAATATTACGAGCCTTTGCTTATTCAACAGTTCATAGCAATACGGGTATATAATGCCAACAGCAATTCACGATCGACAGAATGCTGTTCCTGGTGATACTATTTTTGATAGTAAGCGTTCAATAATTATGTGTATGTCCATCACGATGTATTGTGATTAGAGGATTTAAATGAAGGCATGTAGATGACACACGATCCAGCTGTATAGTGACAAAGAAAAATATTCATGTTTGTCTAAATTCTTGCAATCATCATAACACATTGCAAACAGCTATTCCATGGGTATAGCTACGGCAACTGTGGATGCAACAACGTCGCCACAGCGACAATAACCGTACCTTCTTCACCGATCGCTTGCATCCGTCGAACATCTGTGGCACGACAAGCTCAATCTCCTTCTCCGACACCACCAGGGGGCACCTCAGTGCCGTCGCGATGATGCGCCTGCAAGGTGTAGGGGGCGCTGTCGGACGCTGCGCGGCCTCGGTCTGGCGTTTCGCGATCGGGGCCGGGCTGGGAGGGAACGGGGTCGGAGTCGGAGACGGAGCAATGCTGTCGTTAAGCATCACAGGCAGGAGAAAGTCGTAGGAAGCAACCTGCAACGCAGACGTACGAGCGATGAACTCACACCGCTGTGCAATGTAAGCACAATGCCTTGAATAATGTTCCTAGTCTGGTCAAGCTAGACGTGTTTATACAGGTTTTTCGCGTGCATATTTCGTCTTTTCCTTCCTGCTAGACACAGAAATATATAGACATATAGAGTAGACACTATACATATATTCAAGAGCAGATAAAGAAGGAGAGCGTACAAGGGTAAAATGCTGAAACCATGCTGCAGTATTAGTCGAATTAATAAACTTTTCCCGTTTTATTTTGACGATCCTTTGCAGTATTATTGATTAGCTGTCTTACCTTGTTCATATAAAACAAACCGCATGTCTCTACGATGCCCCTACGCTGAGATAATGAGCGGTGAAAATCTGGTATTTTCGCCGAAACGGGAAAAGTTTATTAATTCGATTAATACTGCAGCATGGTTTCAGCATTTTACCCTTGTACGCTCTCCTTCTTTATCTGCTCTTGATATATTACTGTCCTTAGTAAACGTGTTAAAACTTCTCACTCAAACGTTAAGACTTTCGATATTTAAATCTTTATTAATATCTGTGAATGTAGAAAATTGAAAACGTACAGCTGACGTTTCGCCTCCTATCAGGAGGCTTTCTCAAAGCTGACTGAAGATTATCAGTTTTGACCAGCAGATGGTGTAGTGGTTATATAGCAGCTTGGTCCACACGTGACTGAGTCTGTATCCCCCCTCGTCACAGTTCAAAACGTCAGCTGTACGTTTTCAATTTTCACTTCAATTTTCACGGTTGAGTAACAATTAACCCAGATAGATCTATTAGTCTACCAACCGAATGAACTTATTTAATGAGCCTGTGAATGTATTTTTTAGGATTGATTTTCACGGACATTGACACACCTCGGTCGGCGCAAACACCAGCTCTGCACCGATGGAGGTGCCAGCGGCAAGCTCAGTCGTGTAGACCGGCGCCACGCTCCCATCGACACCCTCCTCCTGGCAGCCATCGCAGTCGGTGGCGTCGTCCAGAGTAAGAGAGAAGTCTCGGTAGTGCGTGAAGTCGAATTCAACCTGCGCACGCGTGTTTCCCTGTAAAGACGTGATAAACGCTGACTCCAAATGTCCAGCAAGTCTACGAATGACATATACTGCCAAGGTGAAGATAGAACACCTATGTTAGCATGTCATTTCACATGTCGATATATATATCAGGTGCTACGAGGGGTGAGCAAGAATACTGCATAGTAGAATCTGCAAGTTGACTTTAAAACTACACTATATCAGGACGCTGAATATTGCAAGATGGCAGCCAGGGAAGAATTCACGCAACACAAATACACAAAGATCTACAGCCAGAAAATCTCCTTGGATACATATTTAATCCTACAAGATGGCGGCTAGGTGAGTCTGTGCAACACAGATATACTGAAATCTACAGCTGGGCCATCTCCCTGCACCCTCCAAAATGGCGTCTAGGCGAGAGTCTGTGCTCGCATGTGAAACGCGAGCAACAGCAGTAACTGAGGGAGGGAAGGCGGTCTAGATAGTGACGGCGGATAACTCACACACCCGGTTACTCAGCTTGAACGGCAGCCGTATCTCAGATCCACACCAGACGCCGCCAAACTTGAAACTGGGCTGAAAAGTGAACATGTTTATTAAAATAATATCGTCGTAATAATTGTATCGTAATTATTGTAATATGAAGTTGACCACAGTTATGTTATGGTATCTACAGGTGATGTGCCAAAGATCATTCCACATGCTTCCCTTATGATTGGCCAAATAATATCACATGGTCACCCTAACACTAACCTAATTAAACGAGATGTAATTTTGTATGTGGAAGATGCAATCTCATGGTAGACTAAAATGTTAAACAAACCGAATGATCGCTGATTGTAGCTGACAATATTAAAATTATAATAATTATTATTACAGCTATTACAACTAAACTTAACTAACAATGGTTTATTAGACTGCCACATGTTTACACATTACCGTATCGATGTCAACAGAGGGCGCCTCGACACGTCCACCAATGCGCATTTCTAGAGTCTTCCCACAACGCACGGCAATGAATACGCGAGTGTCGAACCTCAACACAGTCTGTGGCGCCATCTCCAGGCGTAATTCGGCAAACCCTCCGACTGGAACGACACCCTCCCGTGGAGTAATGTAGAAGTTGGGGACAGGGTTTGGGTTCACGATCTGAAATCAACAAGATTGCATCCATCGTAACAAGATTGCATCCTCATAACTTTGGCTAACGCTCCATTAGGAGTGTTCCCAACTTTGATATCGTTAATGATTAATGATTGATAATCCTAACGCTAACCCTAACCCTAACCCTAACCTAAATGACATTAAACCACAAACTAATATATGACCATATATATATATAAATATATATATATATATGTTATTATGACCATTAATGACATTAAAGTTGGAAACACTCCTAATGGAGTATCACCCATAATTAACTTTACTAAACACTACATATAGTTTCAATACAAATCTTTAATTTTAATATGTTGCATGAGCCTTTCTCTGTATGCATTGCAGTGATGCTAGTATAAAATCATTAAGGCATTGACACGACAGCTATTTTTTTGTAAAATCAAATAAAAATTAACATAAATACGACAATTATTTTTGATCAGAAACAAAGTGATGATACAAACTTGGAAGTAGGCATTGTGTGTGCCAGTGTTGTGCATCACTGCCGTGCGTAGTGTGCGCAGATTCAGCGCGATAGCGCCACAGTGCAGGCTACGCTCTGCTAACTGCACAGTGCTGCCTCTATACTCCGCCTCGCAGTGCAGGTACAGTGTGTTGCCATGGTGAACCTAACATAACAACGCCTTGGTTACCATACACCACCATTTTCAAGGCGAGTAAACATTAGTGAACAATCAACAGCAATAAATACATTACATACAGAAAAAGACAAATGACATTAAAAATGATATATATATAATTCTATGAATATACAATTATATACAATTATATATAATTCAGCATATAGAACTAAATCAACAGTGAACACTAAACAACACTGTCGCAATCACACTAATGCACGTGGATAATATAGGGTATACCTGCAATTGAAAGTATCCGTCGGTCAAGCCGGCGAAGCTTGGATGGTAGACGACCTCACAATCCAGGCCGCTGTAGGGCGCCACCATTCCCACCGCTGGTCGGACGGAGAAGGACGTTCCATTGTCACCAATGTCAGGCACCCAGCTAAATTCTGCCGCCAGGTTGCGCCGGTTGTACAAGGTGACTACAGACCGGAACTCTGTCATGGGAAGAGACGAACCCAGATAATATAAAAGCTAATAACAGGAATACCAATATAAGTAAATCATGCACACACAGCATTCAACCACTTTTACCACCTATGGGCCCATCTCGTACGCAGTGCACAGAGGTCCGGGCTCCGAGAAAAAGTTCTCTTCTTATATGCTACTTTTGTACTTCTTTTGCACTACTTTTGTACTTCTTTATACTACTTTCGTGTCTGACAGCAGGCCACATAATGCGATATAGATCCAAACTGCTGCAGGTGCAGTCCTTGATAGGGATACCACCCCTATATACAACGTTTACCTGCATGGGGAGGCATCCCTGGAGTAGCCGTGAGCAGGATGTCGGTAGCAGATAGCTGCAGAGCTACAGGAACGACGTCTGCTGTGAGTTGGACCTTGTCGTGATAGTGTCCGTTCAACGTGTACGACACACACCTGTATACACGCAATCAACGATAGCTGAGACATGTCACCCACGCACCTGATATACATATGTAGAACGCTCACATCCATATATATATATATATACATATACATATGTATATACATATATATATATATCAAGAGCGTATAAAGGTCTTTGTCCTTCTAGAAAGATCTTGTCCTTCTTTATACGCTCTTGATATATATATATATATATATATATATATATATATATATATATACAGTAGAACCCACATGTGTGTATGCACGAAGCATGCTGATGCGTGTGCATGTCTATGCACTGCCTACACGCACACACGCACACATGAATAATCATACATGTATACTGATGTACATTTATACATACGCATGTTCAGTATACAAAAGCCTTGCTATGTATGTGTGCACACGTGCGTGCCTGCTTGCGCGCATGCAGGCATGTCTTTGAGTAAAGATATATGCTTCAGTATATGTATCAAGAGTCCATAATAGAAAATGTATAAATTTATAATATTATTATTATTATTATTATTATTATATTATTATTTTTATTATTATTTATAAATAGAACATTTTTCTACTATGGACTCTTGATATGTACGTATTAATGTAATTTATGTTAATTTATGTATGTATTATGTACGTATATATTATGTTTATGCTACTACTCTGTAGTACAGTCAGTGGCTTGCACCCTCACCTGCAGAGCATGCCTTTCTCTTCCGGCTCTAGTATTACTGGCAGCGTTGTCTCGCTGCGAGGCAAGATGACGTGTGATAGAGCGCTCTCTCTAAACACGTCGGCGCAATCCTCCTACAAACCACACCGAGAAACGTTCTATTGTTTTTGTCACGTGTGCGGATGTACCAGCCCAGATCTAACTACACATCAACAGCAGTAACCAGTGGAGCATGATAACATGATAACATATGTCATACAAACACTAAACTTCACATGTAATGCTACGTACAGTTGCATTTGTAACACAATAGTTTAATCTTGATTATTTTTCCTTCCAACTACCAAGAGATAGTTGAGATTTGTGCAGTGATGAATTGTGTTATATACATTATCAGGATTTTACGATAACTTTGCGAATATTTTTTAATAAATGTGATCTATACATACATTAATCTCCATCAAGACGTGCGTTGTCAAGTTATTGGTGATTGTCAACTGTTTCGTCATGGTTGAATGTACGCAGATCTCCCCAAAGTCCAGCACTGCTGGTCCTACTCAAAAATACCATTAAGAAAATTGTAAGAAAAAGCATTAATAGGACTCATATTGACAGTATGGTATCCCTATAAACCTATATGCCTCCAATACACGGTACGTACGGAAGAATTAAGTGCAGAGTTTAAGCAGATATCGTGATTCCAAGGCAATCACTTATATAGTGGCATACCAATCTTTTAAAAGTATTTCCTTTTTTCAAAAAGAAAAGGCGATCCGTACGTAGATCTTACCCGGTAAGTATATCTCCTAATGAAAGATTTTGTTTGTGTTTCTGACAAAATATCACATTTTAATCCTGTCCATATGAACCCGTTGTTGATTAATTCGCTCACCAATTTTCAGCTGGTACAATTGACCCGGGGATAGCCTCACCCTGCAGTCAGCTATCTCCTGTTGTGTGCTGGCCACTGCCTTGTAGCCCGCCTCAACAACTCTCACCTACGAGATACACAGAATTTACACATGCTGGGAGGGATATAATATCTCTCTTAGACCCTTCAGTCTCCTGGGAGACACAGGTCATTGGTGAACTTCCTCCATGTCGCTCGGTTGATTGCCTTCCGCTCCATTTCTCTCCAGGTGAATGGATAATGCTAGACAACATCTATTGGATGCAGAGGATTCAGTACTTTGGCTTTATCTTCATAAGTAATTTTTGCAGGTGTTCACGCACACAGGTAATAATGCTGAAGGGGTCGTTGTCGTATCAGGTACTACAGATATGTACCCGAGGTACATATATGTATACACAAAGTGTACCAGACTTGTACTACAGAAGTGTACCCTAACCATAACACTAACCCTAACCCTAACCCTAACCCTAAACATACCTCATGTAAAAATATAAACATAATACTAAACAACCTAAAACTACCTCGGGTACATATCTGTAGTACCTGATACGACAACGACCCCATATGCGGTAATAATATAAAGTAAGGCATATAGCCTTTGAGCGACCACGTACCCCAGTTGAATTGCTGGAAGTTTTTTATAGCGAGCAAATATGAGAATTGATAAGTCAGAATTCAAACAAGGGAGCCGGAAATGAAAATGTTGTGCACGAAAGTGAGGCTCCCAAAATGCATCTTAATTAGCCAAATTTCTGGTAGGTTACCGGTTGCTTCCATCTCTTTCGCACCCCTCATAAGATGTTTCGCTCACCGGCGGTGGTCGTATCACGATAGGTTGTCGAGAGATCGTAAGATTACCACCCGTATATGGCTGTGAGATGTTACACGTTAACTCACCGGCTGAGACGATTGTTCTGAAGGTGTCCAGACATCATCCGTGTCGCGTGCGGTCCCACGACCTATAAACAGAGCGCACTAGTGATACTCATCCATACCTATTAATTTATACGTGAAACTAATGCATTATTTTTACAAGCATTATTTCTTATTTATCAATAGAAATTGAAAGATTATACTATTACACTCTTAATGACGACGATGGTAGATTACTTACGTTTGTAACGGCTAGGTGGCTGCTTTTTCTTCTTTGTAGAATTAGGCTTCAGTCTTACGTCAGTGTTACTGACAACATTTCGTTGCTCGAGCTCTTTCTCTTTCTTCAGGCGTCTGCAACGCACATCTGCAACAGATAAACATGGCTGCCAACATATATGGATATCATATATCTGCAGGGCTCGAAATTGAGAGGAAATCCGGTAATCCTTAGGGTAAAATACCCTACGGATTTGTTACGGATTTCATGAGGAAACCTGAAGGAAATGCGTATAGATTACTTAAAAATCTACCACTCAGCTGATGGGTGAACGCTCAGTTATTGACAGCAATAACTCAGTTGACGACTGAGGTGGTGTTTGAATCCGTACTTAAACAACATTTCGAAAGGATGAGCTGAGAAAAAGCTATAGGTGCCCTTGGAGCCGATAGTGCTTCTGAACTTATGCAAGGATGCAGAGCCATTATACAGCATTTCAATCAACTATCTGAAAAATCTGTACAATAAAATGCTGAGCTCCCAACGCTAAAATAGCAATGTTTAACTTTAAAGTATTTTATTCAGGACGGTTTGTCCTGCATGCAATTTTTTCTTTCATAGTAAAATTTAGCCTACCCTGTACGGATTACTTAGATTTTGAGCGGATTTGCTCATTTGTGAAGGAACAAATCCGTACGGATTAGTCCTCAAACTGGAGAAATTAGAGCCCTGTATCTGTGCTACATAAACACAAGTATCTATCATATATCATAATGATAACATCATATAATAATCATCTAGAAAGACAACCCAAGACTTTTAGCTGGTTTGTTGCAATTTCTGTGTGTCGACGTGATTTTGAAGCACACGTGTTTTGTAAAATTTCACACTTCGAATTGATCACTACCTGCAATGTAGTTTTGATATCGGTCCTTATGTGCACGTCTCTCCTTCGATTCCTCATTGTTAAATGCATAGTCTGGATCTGTGTATGTGTAGCGCCACAATCCTGTGTGCTCCGTCCTGCAACGCAAACCGCAGGCTTTTATCAGGCGCCCATCTAACAGTGGATACACATGACATAACGGTGAACGCACATTGAAGGAAAATAGTTCTATTAATTAATAATTAATAAACTAATTAATTAATAATTAATAAACTAATTAATTAATTAATATGGAATATTGAGTTCTACACAGTCGGCGGCAGAACTTCTCGAAGTTCTGCTCACACTCACAGACAGATCGTTGTGCTGGCATGTTGAATGGTTTACCTGCAGGGCTGACTAGGGTTGCTGGGACGGATGCTGCGTGCGCGTTCATCCGGATGCACGACCGCTGGACTCCTCTCCTCCCTCCTCCTCAGCTTAGACTGACAGGTCGCGGAGAGTTTGACGGGCACGGCGAGAACGGCTTCCGTGCCCAGCCTCCCGGAGGATGCGACGGCCGTGCCGAGAATCTCAATCTCAACGCTGGTCCGGAAGATTCCTGCAATCGCAGTCATCGATCAGGCGGTTAGATGGCTAGGGTGAATCATTACTTGCGGGAAGGAGCTTAATCATTGCTTAGTCATGGGGGAATCTTCTCCAGCCTAGAGGGCGTTGTGATCTTCTTCCGCAAGTCACATGTGTTTGGTTCTTTATGTTCCTTATATCTTTGTTCACAAGAGATGCGTGTACTGGCTTCGTGACGTCTACATTTATTGCACTCATGTTACTTCGTATTGTTATTTTACTGCATTATTTTACAGTTTCCGCTTTGTTTTGTTACAGCCCGTTTGTGTCTACATCAATCGGTCTCCTTGCCTTCTACAAACATACATGTGTGAATCTCACATTCGTAATGAAATGCTTACCGTATTGACTGGGATTGAAACACATGGAGATTTCTAAGGTTTTACCAGGCTCGACTCTTCCCCTACTCGGCTCAAAGGTGAAATGAGCCATTTTGCCAAACCTAAAAGTATAAAATTTTCAATAATGACGGAAACAAAACCGACGATTGTCGACTGACGTTGTTAACTTCCATCAAAATGAGGATCATTTCAAAGAGACCCCGGCGGGGTCTCTTTTCATTCAGCGATAGATACTTACCTAAATTTTACTGGAAGAAGAGGCGATTCATTCCTCAGTGAGCAAGTCCGGCTAACCTTTTCTGACATGTCACACGTGCCAAACTGTAGCTTTGATACTGAAGAGGAGACGAGTATGGGCAGTGCTGTTCCAGTCAAACACACCTCCACAGAGCCACCTGGTGATTGCATAGTAAAATGTTATGAGCCAGAATAAACCCCAACCTGGTTTAGTTCAGGATGGCAGGTTGCCACCCAATGAAATGGCTTGAAAAATGAGACATTTTTTAAACAATTTTAATGTGCATGGTAATTGGTTAGTTCATTAAGAGATGATAACTCTTGCCTTTCTTCGCTGCATGATCGCTTCCTATGAGGTTCACGCGCGCAAACAGCACGTAGTCCCTTCTCGCAGGCATCTTCGTACGACTCTTAAAACCATGCTTCGAGGTGCGTATCCTGAAATTCACACGGTCTCAGAGTCACCACATCACAAAAATGCAAGACGGCCGCAGACAACCGAGCCACGACGCCCCCCCCCCACGAGCCCGATACTGTGATAATACTTGGTGATTTTCTCTCAGCACGGCACTAGCTGTCAGTGCTGTGGTGAAGTTTCATCCACTCTCGTTGCGTCAATAGATTCAGAGAGCGCGCGTAGTACCGTGGGTGGAAGCAGAAGTAGACCGTGATCTTCTCCTGTGGTTGGAGACAGCCTTCACTCGGTCGTATCGTCACCAGCGATGCCACGTCTAGTTCGCCTTCCCCACCACCAGGTGGCGGCTCCGTTCTAAGCAGGGCTTCAGTGGTTAGACTCAGGTCGGTGCCCTATTACACGCGTTAAGGTATGTACTGACTGCAAAGTATCGTAAAGCTACTGACTGCAAAGTATCGTAAAGCTACTGACTGCAAAGTATGGTAAAGCTACTGACTGCTACCCAGTATGGTAAAGCTACTGACTGCATAAGTAATCCAATGACGTAAAGCTAGCTAACTGCAAAGTATGTAAAGCTACCGACTGCAAAGATCGTAAAGCTACTGACTGCAATGCTGAGGAGCTCGACGACAACAAATGATAGATAGCAACCAAGGCGAGGGTGAACTCTCACCAGTAGCTGGCCTGGTCCACTCTCCATCCAGAAATGACAAAACTCTGCACCGTGGAACTGGCATTGCAAAGCACTAAACTCTTTACTGTATCTGTGCGCACAGTAAGTGTTTCCAAATCTGGAATGTCAACAATACTCACTCCTTAGTATGTAGTTATCTACTTGATAACTACATTTCTCTCAACTATGTGCATACACTAGTAAATAAAACAATACTGCACGAGTAGACTATGAAATTATAATAACAAGTATAATAAAGGCACCATCTCGTAATGAGGGTATGCTCCATCTTCACAGCAAATTCCAATTAGTATAGTCTTAAAGCTAAATCTCACCTAATGCAATCAACAGGCTGTGTGAGTCAGAGAAAAGTTTCAGTGGCTGTGATCCTCCTCTACCATTGTATCAGCTAAGCTGCATAATCAGCCTACATGATAGATTGTAGGCTATAATTTTAATAAATTAAGAGAGAAAGAGGATAGCACATTACATAGAAATTTATGCGGCTAGCTAGGATACCACACTCATTTGAAAAAGTGTTGTGTGTGCCACAACTTTGGAATCTTGCATGAAATGATCGAATGACGAATTTCAACACATCTGGCAGTTTATGGAACTAATTCTAAATCTAGAATCAGTGAACTAATCGAGTTATTATGATTAAATCTGCCAACTGGGCAAAACTTGGAACTTGTTAGGGGCCTACATGTTGTAAAAATAAACTAATACCTATAGGCCTAATTTAAATGTGGTGTTTGTCTCCTTGTTAAGAAATTTGACGATTCAATATACTAATTAGATAAATTATATTAATAATAATATTAGGATAAACAATGTTTGGCAAGTCATTAGAAATGTAATGAACATTGGCAATGTGTTTCACAATCTGTCAATCACAGCACAGGCCTTGAGGCACAGGCACTTGAACGCGTTTCCAACTGTAAACACACGCCGCCGCCATTGCGCGCACACTGACACAATAAATATAAATATATTCTATGTATCGTGTGCGCGCAATGGCGGCGCGTGTGTTTACAAATTACAGTTGAAACGCTTCAAGTGCCTGTGCTTAAAGGCTCAAGTTTCAAGAAGAGTATAGCCTAGCTACTATAACTTATAGTTATAAGACTAAGAGCGAAGCGAGTACAACTATAGGGCCTGTGATCACAGACACTGAGACAGTGCGTGAGACACACACAGTCACAGTGACACAGTGTCCGAGCCAGCGTTCGTCAGTTTCTTTTCAATCTCACGACACTAGATATAAGTGATGCAGACTGCAGTTTTGTAAAGGTGATGCAAATAATACCAATGCTTAGAAAAGACCCTTTCTGTAATTTTAGTGCTAACGACGAAGAACGTGTATAAAATTTATACGCTAGCATAGTGACGCAAACGGACTACTGAGTAACTGAGCGCGCAAACGCCCAAGCTGTTCGTTTCCAATGGATACCAACCCCACGATCCGATACTAGCGCCGCGCAGCGGCGAAATTGTAACATAAATGGTTTTAATTTAGATCAAAGATCTTTGATTTAGACTGAACGATTTTATAAAAATCTTAAATATATAAAATCGATTTTATCTAAATTTTAGCTTTGTTTTCGACTAGAGTATTTAAAGAAACTTTATTCTGTTAAAATAAAAATGTCTTCATGAAAACAGGTATAGTAGCAATATTATAATGGTGTGTTGTCTAACGAGCTTTATGCATGTTTACAAGAGCTAATAAATAACTTTATTATTCACGTCTTTATCCGATTGCGCGGTAATATATATATCATCTTATATTCATCTTCCGCGGTATTTATTAGCTCTTGATGTTTAGCAATGAGAATTGTTTTACCGTCTACCCTGCCCTCACATCCTGTACACTGATCCTAGCTCATACTAACTGTGGCATTCCTTTAATAATAACCTACGGCGACTTACGCGACTAGCAATCTCTAATTGATCACTTTTTACACCAATGACCTTGAACAGCTTAATCACGGCTGGCATCATCTTACAGACTGTGTCAGACGCACCTTAGCATATTTATCTAGTAAAGCATGCCAAGTAAAGAAAACTGACCACAAAATTAAAAAGAGAGATACTAGCAATTGGAGCCAGATTCATATCTGAGACGCTTCAACATACCATAAATATTTCCAGCCTAACCGAAGTGATATTGCATACTCAATGGCAAAAACTCAATTCGATATAATGCGATTAGCATTGAAAGCATGCTCCAGAGAAAGTTATGTCAGGAAAGCAAGAAAACTAAGCGTCAACACTCTGGCTACTAAAGGGCTTCTAAAATCAATTCAGCACAAAAAATAAGGAATGTTCTCCACCATTTCCTATCAACAGTGAAGCTTGGAATCAACGTAGATCGAAAGACAATATTCTAATAAACTAACGCTCACACCTAAAGGAAGCTGCAAAAAGAGTTCTACTACACACC